TTTCATGATTTCCACATCAATTTAATCAAGAGTATAATTTCAAAATTCAATCTTTCAATAATATTATAATTTCCAAATCCATTATAATTTCCAAATCATTTATCCAAGAATATCAAAACTTCCAAATCCATTATTCAAATATAAATAATTACACAATTAATTCTGATATTTTCTAGAGGATTAAAATTCCCAACAATATAATTAATCAAAATTAAAATTAAAATTAAACCCAATAATATTCATATAATTAACCAATTTCTAGGGACTAGGATTACATATACCAAATTACATATAAATATAACCTATAACTCTCTAGGGATTAAGATTACATATATCGAACATATAACTACCTAAAGATTAGGACACACCCAATAAAATTTCATACACAACAAATCTACAACCACCTAGAGATTAGGATTACATTTAAGTTTTATATAAAAGAAATAACCTACGAATAGGATTACATATACCAAAATTCATATCAATATAATCTATGACTCTCTAGGGATTAGGATTAGATACACAAAATTTCATAAAATATCCTAATAAGACATAGGGATTAAGATTACTAATAAACTTCAAACAAAATTATAACCTAAGGATTAGGATTACCTTGTCTTCGTTTTCGCTTACTTCTAGAAGAGAATAATTTGGGGCAGAGAACCGGTTGGTATCCAAAAGAATATAATAAATAAACTTTTGAAGTAAGGAGAGAGAATAGTAGAGGAGAAATGTTGAAGAGTGAATTGGTTTGGTTAGGCTAGACCTCTATTTATAGTTGAAGTTTTAGGCTCAGATATGGGTTTCGTGCATTTACTTCCTTTTTCTTTATTGATGTATCTGGCTCAGATTTTGGCTTTATACATTACTGACTCAATGCTGACTCATCATATCTAAACAATTTATGTTTGTTGACTCATCATATCTAAACAATTTATGTTTGTTGACTCATCATATCTAAACAAATTACTAATCAATCATTACTAATCAAACATAAATACATAAATCATCAATCAATTAATAAATCAATTAATCATAATTTATCATCTAATATATATATATATATATATATATATATATTATATATTATTTTATTATTAATAACCTAGAGTATTACAAAGTATCAAAATTATTTTTCCAATAAAAATATATATATATATATATATATATTATTACTACAAATTTATAGTTTATAATTATTATTATATTATTATTACTATTTTATTAATAAAAATATGGGGTATTACATTCTACCCTCCTTAAAAGAAGTTTCGTCCTCGAAACTTAAAAGTTTGAGCTTCTCAATTAAACTAAAAGGCATAAGGTTAAAGTTAATAAAAATATAGGGTATTACATTATACCCTCCTTAAAAGAAGTTTCGTCCTCGAAACTTAATTAATTTTTTTTTTGAAACCCCTTTAAAAAAATGTAAGCAAACAACAAAGAGTCATGCATAACCAAGCAAACAAGGCAACATAGAATACAATATATTAAAACACTACAAATTAATGAATTGTTAATTTTAACCCAGCTAGAAAAAAAAAAGTTTTGAAACTGAATATCTTCTTTAAACAAATAGAATTTTTTTTATTGCATATATTATCTTTCATTTGCTAGAAAAACTTTAATTATTTCAAGAACAACTCTAAAAGAAAGCTAATTACTTTTATTAAAATAAGAACGAGTTACAAAAGATAGCGTATAAAAAAAAAATTAAAGAATATTATCAATAATAATTTTAAATCACAAAATAATTCCAAACATATAATCATCGAAATTTCAAAGAAATAAATCATATTTAAAGGACAAGAAAAATAACCCTTCACTACCCATCTCTCTCGATTTATTTATTTATATTATGTCCTATTATTTTATTTCCTAAATTTTTTTTTATTTTTTTTTATTTAACTCAGGGATCTTTGATCCCTCAAGTCAATATCAAAAGCAAACCCCAGCCGCAACCAGGGGCTCTGATACCATTATGTAACACCCCAAATTTCTAACAATTTATAAAACAATCTTATAATAAATAAATTGTCAAAATTCATTTTTTTTTACAATTATAATAATAGAAATATTGCGGAAGCTAATCTAAATTTAATTTGGGGAATGTTACCGCCGCACCTGTACAATGGACAGGTGCAAGGCTAAATTTATTACATTAAAATAAAACCAAAGACTAAAGTTTAAATAAAGGAAATATGTCTTATGCATTTATTTAAATCTCATAAAATTTCTAAACTTAGGAACTAGCTAGAAATATCCGAGTCGTGATCCTCACTGCCCACAGCTAGCCCCATCCTTTGCAACATGCTTCACTGAAAATCTGCTCCCCCGCAGCCGCAGGATCATTGCAGTCAAACAAACACAAAAGTCAGCAAAGCTGGTAATCCCAATCAAAATACAATTATTGTAATTAATAACAAATTAAATCAAATATCAAATAGTGTTCAAATCAATTCCACATTAATCAAATCAAATATCAGCAAAGCTGGTAATCCCAATCAAAATACAATTATTGTAATTAATAACAAATTAAATCAAATATCAAATAGTGTTCAAATCAATTCCACATTAATCAAATCAAATATCAATATAATAATCAAAATTCCATTATATAATATTTATCTTTATTAAGTTCATTAAATGTATTTGGTAATTATCAACTAACATATTTAGCACAACATTAATCATAATATGATAATATTTACAACTCAATGACATTCTTCATAATCAAATCAAATAACAAATTTCATTAATAATGTTTAAGTTCATTATATTTAGTGGGAAGAGAACCATGGTAGACCCGGGAAACCCTGCCAGTCTACCCTGTGACCCGGGAAACCCTGCCAGTCACAAACAAATCACATTGGCCATAATCAATTCACATCTTTCTAGTGTGCACACCTCTTCCCAAAGTTGCTACTAGTATCCCGGGGAACCCTGCCAGACACCACTTTGGGAAGAACGGATACAATCTTTTTCACATCAGTTTCACATCGGAGGCATAAATCCTAAAAGTTGTGTTCATCACCTTGGGAGGTACCATCCCAAAGCTATCCTCCCACTATTAATTTATTCAATCACATACAATCAATTCAATCTTGTCACGATTCTCATAATTGTCAAATAGTTTTCATGATATCCACATCAATTTAATCAAGAGTATAATTTCAAAATTCAATCTTTCAATAATATTATAATTTCCAAATCCATTATAATTTCCAAATCATTTATCCAAGAATATCAAAACTTCCAAATCCATTATTCAAATATAAATAATTACACAATTAATTCTGATATTTTCTAGAGGATTAAAATTCCCAACAATATAATTAATCAAAATTAAAATTAAAATTAAACCCAATAATATTCATATAATTAACCTATTTCTAGGGACTAGGATTACATATACCAAATTACATATAAATATAACCTATAACTCTCTAGGGATTAAGATTACATATATCGAACATATAACTACCTAAAGATTAGGACACACCCAATAAAATTTCATACACAACAAATCTACAACCACCTAGAGATTAAGATTACATCCAAGTTTTATATAAAAGAAATAACCTACGAATAGGATTACATATACCAAAATTCATATCAATATAATCTATGACTCTCTAGGGATTAGGATTAGATACACAAAATTTCATAAAATATCCTAATAAGACATAGGGATTAAGATTACTAATAAACTTCAAACAAAATTATAACCTAAGGATTAGGATTACCTTCTCTCCGTTTTCGCTAACTTCTAGAAGAGAATAATTTGGGGCAGAGAACCGGTTGGTAACCAAAAGAATATAATAAATAAACTTTTGAAATAAGGAGAGAGAATGGTAGAGGAGAAATGTTGAAGAGTGAATTGCTTTGGTTAGGCTAGACCTCTATTTATAGTTAAAGTTTTAGGCTCAGATATGGGTTTCGTGCATTTACTTCCTTTTTCTTTATTGATGTATCTGGCTCAGATTTTGGCTTTATACATTACTGACTCAACATATCTAAACAATTTATGTTTGTTGACTCATCATATCTAAACAATTTATGTTTGTTGACTCATCATATCTAAACAAATTACTAATCAATCATTACTAATCAAACATAAATACATAAATCATCAATCAATTAATAAATCAATTAATCATAATTTATCATCTAATATATATGTATATATATACATATATATTAGTATTATTTTATTATTAATAACCTAGAGTATAACAAAGTATCAAAATTATTTTTCCAAAATATATATATATATATATATATTATTACTACTAATTTATAGTTTATAATTATTATTATATTATTGTTATTATTTTATTAATAAAAATATGGGGTATTACATTCTACCCTCCTTAAAAGAAGTTTTGTCCTCGAAACTTAAAAGTTTGAGCTTCTAAATTAAACTAAAAGGCATAAGGTTAAAGTTAATAAAAATATAGGGTATTACATTATACCCCCCCCTTTAAAAAAATTTAAGCAAACAACAAAGAGTCATGCATAACCAAGCAAACAAGGCAACATAGAATACAATTTATTAAAACACTACAAATTAATGAATTGTTAATTTTAACCCAGCTAGAAAAAAAAAAGTTTTGAAACTGAATATCTTCTTTAAACAAATAGAATTTTTTTTATTGCATATATTATCTTTCATTTGCTAGAAAAACTTTAATTATTTCAAGAACAACTCTAAAAGAAAGCTAATTACTTTTATTAAAATAAGAACGAGTTACAAAAGATAGCGTATAAAAAAAAAAATTTAAAGAATTTTATCAATAATAATTTTAATAATGTTAAATGAGTATAATCCTCTCTTTTGGAATAATTTTACTTTAGTAAAATATTCCTGTTGCTTCCTGATAAATATTACTTTGTTATTAATTTTTCCATTATACTATATTAGATGATTAATAACTCTAGTCTGTGTACCTCCTTAACTAGTATTAGATATGCTCTTGGTCAAGGAGCTGCGGCCATTGCAGTAGATATTGAAGAAGATGTACATCCTGGAATAACTGGAGAAACAATTTCTACGAAGATATCACTGCACCAAGTGCAAAGGAGAAAAGTAGCTAGATTGTTTGAGAGAGAGCCAACAGGTAACACTTAAGCTCAAGTATATGTTTCTGGGCTTTTAGACAACTTATCTTATATCTGTTTGTTCAATACAGGTGATGTGTATAATTTGTTTGCCTTTCCCTCCGAGTGCAATTTCTCAGGGATGAGATTTGGCCTCGACTTGGTGCAGATGATCAAGGAAGATTCGAGCAGGATTTTAGGAATTTCTTCAGCTTGCAAGTAATATACAGCATTATTTGTCTTATTGACTCCTTATGTGTGTAACTTCTTTGAAGCATCAATGATTGCATACTTGATTCTTCATTGTTTTTCTTTTACGTAAGAAATGGACAATGGATGGTCTTGATTGATGCTGCAAAGGGATCTGCTACCATGCCACCTGATCTATCTAAGTATCCTGCAGATTTTGTCGCAATTTCATTTTACAAGGTATAAGGGTATGTTTTTTTTTTTTTTTTTTATCAAAGAATACTTTGAAAATTGATGTTGTGTCTTGTGCATTTTTGTTAGCTGTTTGGCTATCCAACTGGACTTGGTGCTCTCATTGTTCGAAATGGTAAGCTAAAGGTTTGTGAACAATGGGTATATATTCTAATTTTATGTTTTCCTCATGATTCAATAATTTTGTGCGCCTTACTTAGTACTACTATTTATTCTTTTATTCTGTTCATCAATTTGAATGACATATAAGTACAAAAAAGTTGCCTTTGTCGGTATTATATGTCACATGACTAAGTGACTGCATTCTATCCTGTCCTCTGGGTTCTGTTAATGCATTGTGTCTTGTGGTTTCCCTCTTAGCATGAAACCTGTATCTTATGGATACACTTACTCGTGTTCTCACTTTCTTGTCTTGTTTGTGGTTCGCTGCTCGTGGACTGGGCCTGGTTTGAGAATTTTGGTGCCACTTTACTCAGCTATGGGTTCAAATCCAGCAAATGTGACCCTTCCTTATTTCTTCACAACACCTTACATCACTACCTCTATGTTTCAGTCTGTGTAGAAGAAATCATTGTCACTTGGACCTCGCAGGTGTTGAATCAAAATCTTGTCACTAAACTCATCTCAATCTTTGCCCTCAAACAACTGGGTACTCATGACTACTTTTTGGGTATTGAAATATCTACCTAATGCTAAGAAAATAAAGTAGAGATCTACTCTTTAAAGCCCAAATGACCGAGGCAAAAGGAATTTCTACTTCTATGGTTGGAGAATGTAAAATGACTACGTGTCTGACCCACAACTATGCATATCAGTGGTTGGCACTTTACAATATGCTACATTGACAAGATCACAAATTGCATACAGTGTGAATAAGGTCTCAGTTTCTCTTCCAGCCCGAACATTGGGAGGTTGTTAAATGAATCTTAAACATCTCAAAGGTACCATTCATCATGGATTACTACTGCAACCTACCAATCCACTTCAGCCTTTAAGTCTCTCATGCCGAAAGCGCATAGAAAAGTGACTAAACAAAAAGTTGGGATACGATAAAAAAGTAATCCTCCGGTTCTCAATTTCTATTAACAAAATATCAAAATTCAACTCCTAGAATAAGGGTCATAGGCACTCTTTTATAGACTAATTACAAATTGATTTAAAATTCAAAAATTTAAAATCCTAAAAATAAGAAAACTTCCTAAAATAAATATAGCAGTAATTAGATTCTAAAAATAAATAAATAATTACAATTAAATCATTCAAAATACATCCCAAATCTTTAATCTCAAATCACGCCAAATGTGTTGCTTTCCTTTTCTTCTCAAACAAATCACAATCACATCTGCTGCTTTATTGGGACTTGGATTCAATTGTAATTTGTTATATTTCAAATCATTGCCTTTTTGAACAATTGGGTCATACTTATTGGGCCACAACTCTAGTCGACTAGCTTCTTTAATCAATGGTTGGGCCATGTACAATGGGCCAACTGTAAGTGCATTATTCTCCCCTACTAGGAAAAGATTCGTCTTCGCATCTTGTTTATCTTCATTGATCTTAATTTCTTTAGACAAAAACTAAAATGATAAATCTTCCTCTATTAGATCTTCATAATTTGATTCTCCATCAGATTTAATATAGACTGGATTATCATCATAAACTGAATCTTCATCATAAGATGGATAATCATATGGGATAATTAATAAATTGGATTATTATCATAGACCGGATAATCATCATAAACTGAATTATGATCATAGACTTCAAAGTCAGGAATGCTGATTTGCATCTCGATATCTTGAAAAGTGGACTGATTTCCAGGTCGTACTTCCCAATTCTGTCCCTGGTTTATAATCCCCAAGGGATTGACGTCCTCCTCTTCGTCATCAGATTTGTCCTCTAATTCCATTCTTTCTTCGGATTGAATGCCAACTTTGTCCACGCAAGTCGACGCTCCAAATATTGGATTTCCATGTTTTACGCCTCCACAAGAGTTCGCTTCAAAATTTGGATTTTCATGCATACTCGCACTAGTAGTCGCTGCAAATATTCAATTCTCTTTCTCTGCGCCCGCACAAGTAGTCTCTCCAAAACTTGGATTTTCTTATCCAACGCTTGCTCAAGTTGGTGCTTCAAATCCTGGATCCGCCTTCCGAGCTCTTTATTTTCTATATCTCGCGGGTCTATCTGACGCAGTTGTCTATATTCTTCAGGAACGATTCCACCTTCCCTACCCTCGTGACTTCGCCGTCGTCGACCTCCGCGATTTTGTTCAGCCATTGGTTGAAGGCAACCCAGTGCTCTGATACCAAATGATGCCGAAAACGCATAGAAAAGTGGCTAAACAGAAAGTTGGGATACGATAAAAGAGTACCACTCCGGTTCTCAATTTCTATTAACAAAATATCAAAATTCAACTCCTAGAATAAGGGTTATAAGCACCCTTTTATAGACTAATTACAAATTGATTCAAAATTCAAAAATTTAAAATCCTAGAATTAAGAAAACTTCCTAAAATAAATATAATAGTAATTAGATTCTAAAAATAAATAAATAATTACAATTAAATCATTCAAAATACGTTCCAAATCTTTAATCTCAAATCACGCCAAATGTGTTGCTTTTCTTTTCTTCCCAAACAAATAACAATCACATCTGCTGCTTTATTGGGACTTGGATTCAATTGTAATTTGTTATATTTCAAATCATAGTCTTTTTCAACAATTGGGTCATACTTATTGTGCCACAACTCTAGCCGACTACGAGCTTCTTGAATCAATGGTTGGGCCATGTACAATGGGCCAACTGTAAGTGCATCAGTCTTTAGGTCTATGATAAGGTCTTCGACACAAAAACAGAAAATAAAAGGGATACAAAGGAATTTCCTAGATTAACCAGATTTTGTATATTGAAAGCGTAAAGGAAAATTACAAAAAGTAATGGCAGTGCTAAAATAAGAAGATCACAAAATGCAGAAAAGGTAAAGGATTGAACGAAATTACAGATAATGGATGCAGTTCGAGAGGCATCCCTTTTCTCCCAAGTTCCTAGCCCAGTCCCAAGTAATTGTTGGATAGTATTAAAATTTAATCAAGTCTTATACAATCAGGTCTTATACTATCAGGTTTTATCCAATACTATGCACCAAACATGCCCTAAGTTGCTACAGTTCCTGTGTTAGGTATGTATCCAAAAACTTTACCACTATAAGATTCACTTCAATTATAGCCCCACTGCAATTGCTATCCTAATTTAACACATATGTTGTGTCTATCATTGGTTCCAAAAACTTAAAAGTCAAAATTTTCCTAACTTAGATTTTAAATGGAAAAGGGTAAAGGTGCAATGCACTTAATCTCCAAACTAAATAAATGAATGAACGATTGAAAAATTAACTGCCCTGGCCACCATATACAACGCTTGAATGGACGTCATACACCAGAACTTCCTATGGACAATCACCTTTATGAGAAAATAAAAAATAATCATTTTACTCTTGATAATTGAGATATAATAAAATTAAAATGAATATATAACTAAGAAAACTGAAGAACCTTTGGGAATCAAAAGCATAGGAATTTGACACCAGGACAAAAGAAAAATATATGGGATCACTAGTCAAAACTAATCCACGGATAAGGCATTACTAACAAGAATCCCCAAAATTAAGGTCAGAATCCATTTCTATTTGTCCTCTACTTTAGAAAATGGAACCTCTACAACAGAAAATAAATCAATAATTAAATAAAAACATGTCCTTATGGGAATGGTGTAATCGACAAAAGAAAAACAAAGAAATTTTGAATACAAGCTTTTCAAACATTTAAAAACCTACAACAATTTTCAAAATGTGGTGGGCACATCCATCTTCTTGTTTCCACCCCACAAAAAAAAAAAAAAAAATCATCTCAGAGGAAATGTTCAAAATCCACCAATATAACATCTTGAAAATCCAAACTTTATCCCCAACCCATCACACTAAACCTCCAAAAAAAAAAAATTCAGATCAAAGACTAAAAACCAGAACAGAGGAAAACCAAAAATAATATCCCTTTAAAAATTAAATTCCCAGAAAACATAGAGCAACCCACATCTATTTATGCTTCAACAGAATGAATAGATCAAAGAAATTGACCTATGAATCACAACAGAGCCTGTGAAGATGATTGGTGATTATGTGCTAGTCTGTTTCTCCTTATTGTTCTTTCTCTTCCTTTTTCTGCCTGTGATATTGCTGCATATTATAATAATATAAAGTAGTTACCCTTTTCTGGTAACAAAGTAAAGTTTCCTTCTTTTTCTTTTTGTTTTATCCACATGGCACCTTCTCGTTTCTTTGTGGCTTCGAGAAAATAATTAAAAAAAATATGATTGAGTACGACGTTTGAGATTCGATTTTTTTTCTTGTCAAAAGAAAAAAAAAATAATGTTTTCTCTTTCATTAGAAAAAACAGGGAAAAAAAACATGTTTTTTAAATGTTTTGGATCCCATGAACATGACTTACGTCTAACTTCATGAAATATTTAAAAATTTGTTTTCATTATTTTATTTTTCCAACGACACCCTTACCTTCAACTATTTTCGTGTCAGCTTTCAACAAGGGAAGTATACAGAATATATATTTGTAAAGATCTTTTTTTCTTTCTTGGATAATATCATGCATGTTCTTTTTGAGACAAGACATTCATGTAATGATCTGGGCTTTGCTTTTGGAAAATAATTTTGCAATTTGCACAAATAATATTTTTGTATTTGTTTAGAAAAATATTTATAATTAAACTTTTTTATAAATTATTATATAAATCTTTGATCGTGTATATTCTTTAATAATATAAATGAGTTCATTTTTTTTTTGTAAGCAAATGAGTTCAGCTTAACATGCACACGCGCGTGTGTATAATTATTATCCTTTTAAAGGATATAAACTTATATCCTTTTAGATCCTAGCTGTTGATTTTCGTCCATCAACGGTTATAATTTATTGGATTAAAATTATT